CATCGGAGAAGCCAGCAAAAAACTGCTTGTAGAGACAGTGAGCTACAAACAAGGACATTTTTTTCTTTTGTCATCACCCAATGTGCTTAATGCTAATGCTAATTAATGAAAATGCTCCACAAATATTATAACTTGAAAATTTGTTCTATCCCTTAATGTACTCTCACTGTCCTCAGTATAGTGCATGCAATTATTAAATGTCCTAATGTGTGTTTGGTAGCTGAATGTTTTGTTACTTTATTTATTTGTTTGGTAGCTCCCTCCCTGCAGTAAGACCTTCCAGGAGGCTCAGAGTGACCTGAACCAGACTGCAGCCGATCTGAACCAGTCTGCAGGTGATGTGGTCCATGCCTCTAGAGGGACCACTAGCCAGCTTGCAGATGCTTCTGGAAAGTTCAGTGAGGACTTTGATGAGTTTCTGGATGCTGGCATTGAGATGGCAGGCCACACCCAGGTATGATATGTGGAGCATGAACGTGAGAATGTGGATAAGTCTTCCTTTTCCTGAAATAATAAGTCATATTTGGTTGTTTAAGAGAAGGGATGATCAAATGCAAGTGATTGGGAATTTGAAGAACATCTCAATGGCCTCCAGTAAGCTGCTGTTGGCTGCCAAGTCTTTATCTGTGGACCCTGCAGCAGGCAATGCAAAGAACCTTCTCGCTGCTGCTGCCAGGTACTTCACTCCATGTTTATTTATGCATGTTTTATATATGCTGTTGTTTCTGTATTTTTACCTTCTCTCTCCTGCGTGTTTATTCAGAACGGTGACTGACAGCATCAATCAGCTGATTACACTGTGTACCCAGAATGCCCCAGGACAGAGGGAATGTGACAATGCTCTAAGAGAGCTTGAGGTATTATATACAAACAATGCATATAGTGCACACTATTAAGTAATTTGTTTTAATATTTGAAAAAGAAATGGTATATTGTCTCTTTTTGTGGGTTACAGGCTGTTAGGGGACTTCTAGATAACCCAAATGAGCCAGTCAATGATCTCTCCTACTTTGACTGCATTGAAAAAGTCATGGAGAACTCTAAGGTAACAGAAACATAACTATTATTGGAGGTTTTACTTGGAATACTATCAGGATTTTTATTGCAAATGTTTATTCAGTACTGTTACAAGCAAAGAAATATTTTACATGTTATTACAAGTCAGCCCATTAGTATGATTTCTGAAGGATCATGTGACACTGAAGTCTGGAGTAATAGCTGGTGAAAATTCAGCTTTGCCATCACAGGAAT